GACGGAGGAGGAGGAGGAGGAGGAGGAGAAGGAGGAGGAGGAGGAGGAGGAGGAGAAAGAGGAGGAGACCCTCCCTTCGCGGCAGCATCAGCGGCGCGCTGGCTGCGCCGCAGGAGGCTGAGAAGCGCGCGAAGAAGGATGCCGAGAGGCAGCGAGGAGCTCATCCTCGTCGTTGTCGCCGCCGTCGTCGTCGTCTTCGTTGTCGTCGTCCCAGACATCGAATGTTTTGAACAAATCAAAGCGACGATCGAGGATAATCGAGCTTCAATGATCGAGAGAACTTTGGATGATTGTCGCCTCTTCTGGGCCTCCGCGAGACGCCTCATGGCCGCGGCTGGGCACACCCAGAAATTCTGGCCAGAACGCACGTCAGGAAAGGTCCAGGGATTGCGTCTGACCCGAGCTCAAGTCTCCAACGGACTAAACACATGGAAAAAGGTCGGCACGACTGTTTTCGCAGCCCTCGGCCCCCTGAGGGCCCTCGTGAGGCCCCGGGGCCCCTGGGCCCCAGGGCCGTCAGCGAGACGGCTCGGGATGGGAAGCCGACCTTACTTAGGCAGAGGGGCCGGGTCAGCTGCCTGAAGCCTCTCACCCTCCTCCTCTCTTCCTCCCTCCTCCTCCTCCCTCCTCCTCCTCCTCCTCCTCCCCCTCCTCCTCCCTCCTCCTCCTCCCTCCTCCTCCTCCCCTCTCCTCCTCCTCCTCCCTCCTCCTCCTCCTCCTCCTCCCTCCTCAACTCTCCTCCTCCTCCTCCTTCTCCCTCCTCTCCTCCTCCTCCTCCTCCTCCTCCTCCTCCTCCTCCTCTCTTATTCCCCCCCCCCCCTCCCTGCACGCTGTGCTGCGCAAGACGCCGCCAGATGAGCCGCGACCTCTGCCGCCCTCCGCCCCGAACCGCCCTCGGCTGAGCATGCACGCCGCGACGCGTGTCTGCAGCAAGCGTTCCCCTTCAGCACCCCCCGACCTCGACCGTCCTCGAGGACGAGGGCGAGGAGGAGGAGGAGGAGGAGGAGGAAGACGAGGAGATCGTGCGGAGCCGTGGGCTGTCTTCCAAACCTTGAGGAATGTGATTCCGCCCCTGGTGTTGCACTTGGACAACGATTTTGTCGTGCCGGGGCTTCAACGAACGTAGTTGTCAGGCTTGCAGCGCAACGGCGTCGGCGCAGTCTGATTTCTGGTAGCTTGTTCAGGACAAGCTGGAAGACTGGGGCGGGGTTGGACCTGACACCCTTCGGAACCTTAAGGTTAAGGCCCGCCCCACCCCGGAACGGCGCAGAGGCGTCACAGCCAGGATCCTTGCGGGCAATTGCTATGCAGATCTCTGGGCCAAGGCATCACGCGTCAGGCCAGAGTCTCCGAGGAAGGTAGGGAGAGGTTCAGGCGGGCAGCGAGGGTGCGTAGAGCGGTCGGGGAGCAGATAGGGAGAGCGGGGGCCGCCGTGGCGGCGCGGGACACCACCCGCTTCGCGGCTGTGGAGCTGTAGGCGGTGAGGGTGTAGCGCCGCTAGGCGCGCCCACCCTTCGCTTCCTCCGGGCCGTTCCCACCTGCTGCCGCCGCCGCTCCTTCCTCTGCCGCCATCCCTGCCCGACCAGTCGCCGTGTCGTCCACTCACCCGCTGTCTTGGTTTCGTCAGGCGAGCGGGCCTTCGAACGGAACAGGTAGTGTACACGCGTTGTGGTGCCTTGACCACGCGCCGAGCCTGCCACCGTTTTCAGGAGTACAGACCCGCGTGAGCGTGGGGTTTGAGAGTTTACGTAGGCAGGGCTTCGCACGCATCGAGTACCGTTCCGAGGGAATAGGTGTACGGCGGAGCTGTCGCAGTTCACCCCTTGGTTTCTGGGCAACGTGTGCTGCCCTCAGATGTTCTTTGACCTGTTCGCAGTCATGTGTGTCTCAGGAGGAAGACGAGGAGGAGGACGAAGAAGAGGATGAGGATGATGGTGATACTGATGGTGATACTGATGGTGATAATGATGATGCTGCTGCTGATGATGCTGATGCTGATACTGCTGCTGCTGCGGTTGATGATGCTGATGCTGATGATGAAGATGATGATGCTGATGATGATGGTGATACCGCTACTGCTGCTGCTGATGATGTCGACTGTGATGATGATGATGATGATGATGATGATGATGATGATGATGATGATGATATTATCGATGGTGATGATGATTATGGTCATGATGAGGGTGATTCTGATCACGCTGATCATGATGATGATGCTGATTCTGATGTTGATGATGATGCTGATGCTGATGCCGCCGCTGATGATGGTCATGATGATGATGAATCTGATGGTGATGATGATGAATCTGATTGTGATGATGACGATGATGAATAGGATGATGATGATGATGATGATGATGATGATGATGATGATGATGATGATGATGATGAGGATGATAATGAGGATGATGATGAGGATGATTCTGATGACGATGATGATGATGATGATGATGATGATGATGATGATGATGATGCTGATGATGCTGATGATGTTGCT